ATATAGTCTTTGCACTATCCTGAGAAATACTCAAATCCACGATCAGATTGAAGTGTTTTGATAAGTTTACCTAATCTGTCCTCCACATCAGTCTTGATACTCTCAGAATATACCAAAAGTTTAAGACTTGTGTCGCATCAGGTAAATTTATCCAAAACGTGAGTAATCTTATTTGAGTGTTCATAAGACCACACGTGTCAGTGTGTACTAACTCCAATTGTTCTTTATGTCGATTTCATTTGGCTGATTAAAGCCCTTAAGGTTATTTATCATTCAATACAGGATTCACAAGTTGGTTTAGGCTCTACTGCCTCACTAGGTAATAAACCTTCTTTGACCAATCTTTGAATCTCATTTCGATTGATTATAACCCAATAATAGACACTAAAAATACAATGAGTTAGGAGTAATAAATATTCTCTTTAACATTCAATCTAGAAGATGCAACATTAGTTTCTACATCATGCAAATATTAAGAGCTGATATTTATAGTATATTAACCATCTTCAATGCACTAGAAGCAATCGCATATCAATTCAATTTTATAAAATTAGTTTTATCAAAAGTAACAAAGTTTTTATAAACCAAAGTTGAAATAAGAATGAGATTGCATCTAATATCTATGCATAAAGATAGTTCTCTAATACTAATATCCTCATACTCTTTAATTTCAGATGTAATACTTCCACTGACTTAGCTACAACCTTGGCATCAGGTCAAAAGACAAATATATATCCATATCATTGAGGCTTCTGCATTCTTGAAATCCTTACAACAAATTGCAAACATATTTAGTGGCTCCAGAATCTATCTATCAAGAATTAATAGATACAACCACATAACATGGCTCAATGATTAAATATACATTTTTCTATGCCACATCATTACTTAGACAGTTCGTCCTTGACTGTCTTAGTTAGCTGGTGTGAATCATAGGTCGTCCCTCCAGAAACCCCAATAGTTTACGTGATACCAAAAGATATTGGTGTGAGCTATGATGAATGTGGCCAAGTTTTACATTTAGAAATTGCCACTACTACCTTTCACTAAAAATATAGTTAGGGCAAGTAGGGATCGTCCCAAGGGATTGGTGGGTCATATTAGGTTAAGGAATCAAGATTAGGGTTAGCAGGTCGAGTGATCAAAATAGTGGTTGGTTGGTTGACTTACACTAGATGCAAATTAAACTAAAGTAAACAATAATGCAATAAAGAGAATAAAAGAGAGAGAGAGAGAGAGATCTTGGGGTTTAGAGATCACCACTAAGCAAACTTTTCTACACCTTCAATGAATGATTAATGAGGGGAAGATATGTGTTGTAATATTTCTGTATGTGTATTTGGTTGTTTCAATTAGCAATGATGACCAATTAAACATATATTGTCTAACCAACATAGTGAAAAGCACAATATATCAAACTAAGCCATTAATCCTTTTATTAAGCTCGCAATCCAAACACATCACAAGGTTAGAGACATATGCTACTTGCATTCCAAGACATGGAACATCAAACAACAAGCATGGATTGTCCTCCTATTTAACAACTACACTACAACTACACTATAACTAAGCTAATGACATGAAATTAACTAATTAAACTAAGGGAGACGCACAATCCATCAAGAAATGAGTATGAACCATCAAGTAAATCACAAGAGCATTCCATTAAGCACTATGTTTTGACAATCTCTATATCTATAGTATTAATACACATAGACATGCGTTAATAACACAAGAAATAGAGACAAATACATAAACATCTATTCTAGCATACATAGACATATGGATAGAATGAAATGATCAATAGGAAGCATTAAACCACATAAATCATTGAATAAACAAGATCTATATATATAAAAGTGTCAAAACATGTATCACAATACAAATCCCCTCAAAAATATGTAAATCAAGATGTAGAAAGCATGCTTAGGGCTAACTCTAGCCCCAAGAGGATGTCTAGCCACTCATGGATGATGTCTTCCAACCCTCAAGGGCAAGCTCTATGGAAGAAATCTGTTCCTTGGTTGATGAAGAGCCTCCAATGGTGTCTCTAGCCTCCTCTTCTCCTTTGCTTCCTCACTAAGAATTCTCTAAAAATCTCCCTCTATGGTTGTGTGTGAATCCTCTCTCAAAAATTGCTCAAATCCTCCTTTTTTGTAGGTTGGGTGACACCCAAAAATGATCTAGCACATACTCCAATATTCTCCCAATGATTGGATAGAGGATAACTTTTATAAGTTGGCAATTTAACTGTTTTGCATTGGAGGAAGTTCAATCGATCCAACCTTGACCTTGGATCGATCGAACATGGCTGAGATCTATTGAACTGAAGCCAGATCGATCCTCTATGGCGGCGCCTTTTTGGATAAAAACAATCTGAGATATTTTGAAGATATTTTTGTGAAAATGATAGAAGTGGTTAGTAGGGTGGCACAGTTGGATAAGATCAATCATTTGGATAAGGACAAGATGGTTTGATCGATCAGAGAATGAAGTTGGATCGATCGAACTTTGAGATCTTTGAATGGGGACAAACATGGCTCAGATCCATCTTGAAGTGCTGAGATCGATGAAAGTTGGATCGATCGAACTTTTCTTGAGATCGATCAAAGTTGCTGAAATTCCACCTTTTGCTTCCTTTTACTCTACTTTGCTCCTTTCTTTGATTCATCCCAGAATTGCTTTATTTCTGCTCTTATTTGGTTGAGTTAGCTTATTTTAGGGATAGGTACCTAAAAATGGAAATAACATGAAATCAATACAAAGCGGGAAAATAAGATAGATAAAGGTTCTAGAATACCTAAGCTTAAGGGGTTTAAATACGCACTTTTCAGCGCTCATCACACCCCCAAACATAAATATTGTTAGTCCCTAGCAATGAACTAAAAAGTAAAGGAATGAAATGAACAACTAAACAACTATGAACTAGAAAGTAATAAATGGATAACGCTACTTTCGTAGGGAACATGATTGCACTTAGCACATGTAACAAGCCTTTTAAACCCCTAGGTTACCCTTAGTGGACGAGTGAAGTCTCGTGAGGGTTTCTTGAAATGATACCCACAAACATTAAGCTCATTCTTTCAAAAGTGGCACCAATATTGCAAGCAAGCATTGGGAGAAAACTACCTCAAGTATGCAATGTTTCAACCCTTTCTAAGCAATCTCTCAAAATCTCAACATCAAGCAAGCAAGTATGGTCCTCCACACATCAAGAAAATGATCATGCAAATCAAAAACAACTCTAGAATCCTTTTTGAGTGGACCGACATCAAATATGTTGTTATCTAAGCCAACTAAAGAAATGATCACATCCTTACCCCCAAACTAGCACACAAATCTAGTATCGATCATTAAGACAAAATGTGGACCTTTTATTAAAGCTTTATTCTTCTAGGTGCACTTATTCTTTTCACACGATTTTATTTATTTATTTATTTAATTTTTTTTATAGGATCAAAGATGGAGGCATGGTGCAATATGTTGATCTATTAAGCTTTCTAGCGATCCATGAGGTCGAGCATTAGGTCAATGACTCCCAAACCAGACGGCTTTAGGGCACTAGGTGTTCAAACACTCCTACAGAGTTACAAGCTCAAATCAACTAGGCTACAAATCAAAACAACCTCCATCAAATCATTTCCCACTTCTCACCTTTTGGGAGAAGTCCTCACTTTTTATTTACTTTTGCAACTTTCGCTCATTTTTTTTTTTTTTTTTAATCATTCAATTATTAACCTAGAGTTTGGGCCCTCCACCTTTCAGCGCGAGAAGTTCAGTGCTTGATGAGGCTAAAATCCCGGCTACTTAGTGAAAAGGGGTTGTTATCCACCTTTATCAAGAATGAAAGCTTTCAATGCACTACTAGCCCAATTGGGATATAACTAATTCAATAATCAACAAAGCATGTACCCCATAAATGAATGCTAGTGTGCGCCTGTGCTACTGTAGAATACTGGAGTGAATCTCAAAATAATCACAAAATCAAGATGATGTGGACCACAAGTGCAAGCAAGATATCAATCTTTCAAAAAATTTACTCCTAAATGGCACCCACAAGGCATACAAGGAATATTGGACTCTCAAGTCAAGCAATTTTTAAATTTTAAGCAACATAGTCCTCAAAAGATCAAAATCATAGCTAGTTATGGACCAATCATAGAAAATCCCTCAAATATACAAGTCATACTCAAAATTTTGAATTTTAAAACAAACAATGCAAAGCACCATGACCCCCAAACTTAAATGGCACAGTGTCCTCAATTTGTAAAGAGAATAAAAGGGAAAGAGTATACTAGTACAACTAAGGCAATGAATGGCCGGGACAAAAGTATCCAAAGTAGGTGGCATAGCCCCCCCAAACTTGGGATTAATTGTGGTCCTGAAAATTTGGCACTTAGATAAAACTTATCAGATAACAAAAGGGATAATAACAGTGCACAGTGGACATGCAAGTGTAAATGGGATAGTCAAATAAAGTAGTGAAAGAGGGATAAGGGTGGTCCTGAAAATCTTGGGCAGTACTCTCTCTCACTGATGTCACTGGGATGCACCTGATGGAGTCAAACAGATAGATATAAGAATATGAAAGTAGAACATCCATAAAGAAAACATATATAAACCAAAAATAAAGTACAGTACATCCAGTATCAAAGCTGACAGACACGGCTGCAAAAATAATATAACAGTATAAAAAATATGCAAATATCACAGATATATAAGAAGAGTAAGAAGATATGGAAATCATGAAGAAGAGATAGGACGTGCAGGTCGCGCTCCACTAATGTCTCTAGATAGATCTCTGAATGCGGTCATGACATCCGTAAGGAGGGAAGCAATGTCAGCTCTAATGGAGACAGTCTCTGCGCGGATAGATACCACGGCGTCCTCCAGAGTTTGAAGTCAGGTATGTGAGCAGGAGCCTCAGGTGTGGCTGGATCGGAAGAATGATGATCTTGAGCCTGCTCCTTATCGTGAACGGGTGACCCAACTGGAGAGTGCTACTCTGGGTCCTCTGTAGGCTGCTCCAAATCAATATCCTTGTGTACGGCAGCCGGATCGACTGCAACGTCGTCCGCTGCCGGGTCTGCTGCTGCTGCCATCTCCTCTACCTCAAGATCCTCAGCTGCCTCGGCAGCGTCATCCCGGAGACTCTTGATAAGAGCGTTGTAGCTCTTATCCCAGTCCTTATTCTTGAATGAATAAGCCCCAGACTCAGTCTTCTCCTGTGGCTGGAAGGGATAGAGCTGATCACGTAGAATCTGTGTGATGAGATGGCCGAATGGGAGATACTTAGCCCTTTTGGGCTTGGCCTTGCTAATGTGGTCGACATATAACTTCATCATGACGCTCCAGATGAGCACAGGAATGGACAGCCAGTGCCCTGTATAGAAGGTGTATAGAGCTGTAAGATAGTCGACGCGCCTCTGTGTCTTATGGCCTGCCATGAAAATATTTCGATATAGCACCGAATCAAAAAACCACAGGCCGTCTAGCAGATAAGTCCGGGTGGCGAAGGTCTCGCCACCGGCATAGTGACCTGTGAGAAAAACTGCCACGTCTGCATATGTAGGCCTGTAAAGAGTGGGATATGTGTCCTATAGCTCTAGAGGGCAGACATGTGGACAGTGGCAAGATCTGGATAATGTATCCACTATAATAGAGATTAAATGACCATCAATAGTGGTCCTCAGCTCCGCCGTGTTACTCGGGTACACCAGGTATGTGATAGGGGCAAGAATGGCTGCAAGGCCCCTCCATAATATATCATCATATGCTGATCGGGTAAGTACTGATTGGGAAAAGAAGTCTGTATCGAAGACCAACTCGTGCGCCACTCGAAGGCGTGAGTATCTATGTAATGGCCGGTCTAACTGCTGGGCTGGCTGAGCTGGCGGTGGTGATAGAGATGGTATGTGCTCAGCCTCAGCATTAGCCTGTGAAGAAGATGCCTCGGCTGAAGACTATAGTCTGCTATCAGATAAGGGAGACTGAGGTGGAGTGGGCTTTGATGGTTCCTCCTGAATGGAGTCCTGGGCATGAGATGGACCTGCTTCGTCATCCAAACTCTACCTGCCCCTGTAGTGATAGTGTCCGCGAGCTACAGTTTTGACCCTAGCCATGGCCTACAAAAAGAAAAAGAAAACTTGCAAGGGAAGTCAGTGCCGATATAAAGAATTAAAGCACGGTTCATAGAATCATGTATGTCAAATAAGATAGACAAAATCGATAAAGAACATGAATCTATGCAAGTGACAAGGAATAAGTATGAAATGCATCCAATGTGGAAAACACATGCATTGGGCATGTATAAGATAGCATGAAACACAATATATGATGGATGAAGTGTGTGTTGCAAATCTTCAAAGTTCGATTGATCACAAAAGTTATGAGATCAATCTCACTTGGATCGATCTTAAGAATGAGAAATCGATAAAAGTTCGATCGATCTTAAAAATAAGTGAGATCGATCTCACTCAGATCAATCAGAGAAATATGTTCGATCGATTGAACTCTGTAACAAAAAATGAAAAGTCACAGATCTATGACATGGATGGCATGGGGCCTTCACGAACATGGTTGTGGGCCCATCAACATAACAAAATCAATCCTAGGCACTGGATTCAGCCCATAACTCCGAAAATCAAATCAAATCAAAACAATTCAAAAACATATATACATATATATACACATATATACACAAAGCTCAAAGCTTCGTCAATGGAGATAGGCATCATGAAAACAACATAGATCTAATAGTTAAAGCATGTGTGCATCAAATCGAAGCTTGAAATCATAAGAGTAGGATTCGGATCTCACCAGAATCATGAGAGAAGTGAAGGTACGAAGGGGGTGAGATGCGAATCAAAATCCGGGAGGAGAGAGAGAGCAGCGAACATGATGGACCTCGCCGAAGATCTCGTCGGAGATGGAGAAGAGTTGGGATGCAGCGGCGAAGGGTGAGATGAGGGTTTGAGATCAATTCTTGTGGAATCGATCGAATGACCCTAAATCGATTTTTAAAAACATTCCCTTGCTAGTTCGATCGATCGAATTAAATCCTCAGATCGATCGAACTGACATCGATCTCTCCTCTTAAGTGACAAAGTATTTTTGGGATTTTTGAAAAATAAAAAAGTAAAAATAAATAAAATAAAATGTAAAAATATTTTTAGGAATTTTTTTTTTTTTTTTTGAAATATATATATATATATATATATATATTATTTTTTATTTTTTATTTTTTTTAATTTTTTTATTCTTTTGGAAAATAAAAATAAAAATGACTATAAAAATAAACAATGAAATACTATTTTTGAAATTAAGAAATTAAAACAAAGTCAAAACAAAGTCAAAATTGAAAAACAAAGAACAAAGATCGATCTCTCTAAGATCAATCTCAGAATACTTTCGATCGATTAAGAATGCATATAATTGAAGAAATGTTTGATCGATGAGATAGAGAGGCTTTTGGATGCAGGTTCAAAAATTTTCTAAGTGTTGGAACTGCAAATCTATCCAAGATAAAGTTGGATCGATCAAAGAAGTTTAGATCGATCTATGAATGTCTTTAATCGATGAGACAGAGAGCTGAAATATATAGGTTTGTGCAGGCTCAAAATTTGTCTAAGTGTTGGAACTGAAGATCGATCGAAATTAAAGTTTGGATCGATCTAAGGACTTCTGATCGATCTGAGAACAAATTCGATCGATGGGATAGAGAGGTGATTTGGAAGCAAGTTGAATGCAGGTCAAAAAAATTTCTAAGTGTTGGATGCAGGTCGAAGTTCGATCGATCGAATACTCCTTAGAGATCGATCGAATTTATGCAAAATGCTCAATTCCAACATGAAAGCTCATGCAATCCTAATCACAAGTCCCAGCAATGCATATGAACTCAAAGCAAATATCTAGACTTCGCAAGAAATGAAATATAAGATAGAAATGAGGGAGAAATAGGGTTTTGACACCCTACGAAATGTCCTTTGCTAGTCTTTAACGTCTCTACCTTGACGTTGGGCTCTTTTAGCCTAGATCAAACATCTTGTAGTGCATCCCCTCCTTGTTGGGGTGATAAGTGTTTTGAACTCCACCCAACAAATGGTTCCCTAGACAACTTATTGGATTAAGCTCAAGAGAAGTTTTCGGTCCTTGGTCAATGCAATCTTTGGGCTTCCATGCCCTTTCAAAACAAGACTTTGAAACAACTTTCTTTGGCTTCAAGGTTGAAGATGGACTTTTTGAAACGTCGGTCTCACACAAAAACTCAATTCCTTCACATTTAAGGTCATGACATTTCTCCACAACATTAACCTCTTCTTGCTTGTCAAATGAGTTGGGGGGTTAGATTGAAAATATTCAACTTCACCTTCATGTGGCCAAATGAGATCTTCCTTATCCCCATTCTATAATTAATGTTGGCATTCGCGGTTGCCAAGAAGGGATGGCCAATGATAACGGGAATTTGGCTCTTAGGATTTAGGACCAATTTTGTGTCAATGACAACGAAATCAACGGGAAAGAAGAATTTATCAATTTTAATCAAGACATCCTCAATGATACCCCTAGGCTTTTTGATTGATCGGTTGGCAAGTTGTAAAACCACCGACGTCGGTTTCAAGTCTCCTAAGCCTAATTTGACATACACCGAGTATGGAAGAAGATTAACATTTGCTCCTAGGTCAAGGAGAGCCCAATTAATGATATGATTACCAATGATGCATGAAGTGGTAGGTGGACCGGGGTTCTTAAACTTTTGAAGAGTGTTATGTTGCAAAATTGAGCTTACTTGCTCGGTTAAGACCATTTTTCTAGGTGCTTGGCTTTTATTCTTCCTCTTTTGGGTGCATAAGTCTTTTAAGAATTTGGCATAAGCTGGAATTTGCTTGATTGCATCTAAAAGTAGAAGATTGACTTTCACTTGCCTAAACACATCCATAATTTCATTTGTTTTGGCCTTTTGCTTGTCAATTGTAATGGATCCTTTTAAGGCATCTGGAAATGGAGCTCTTGGTTCAAAAACCTTTTCAGAATTTTTCTTTAAATTCTCTTCAACACAAGAAGTTTTGAAATCATGTTGCAAATCTTTCATTTCAAAATCACCTTTCAAATCACTTTTCAAGATATTCTCATTTGAAAAATCATGCATATGCAATGAAGGAGGAATAAGATAAGAAATAGGACGGGTGTCAACTTGTGGTTGCACCGGTTCATTCTCTTCATTGGACATACCCACTTGGTTGTCCACAATCTTCCCACTTCTCAAGGTAGTCACCGCATTGACATGCTCTATTGTGTGACCTTCCAATGAGGAATGAGTCTCCATAACACATTGTTGCTTTTGTGGGGCATTCAAAGGCATTTTTCCTTTCTCTCTTGCATTTAAAGTGCTAGCTATTTGCCCTACTTGGGTTTCTAGCTTACTAATGGATTGAGAATGAGAATGAAGCAATTGAGTGTTAGCCTCTAGAGTGCCTAGAGCAATCAAAACTTTCTCTTCAAAAGTGGGACTTCTAACATTTCATTGGGAATATGATTGACTGGGAAAATGAGAATTCGAAAATTGGTTTCCTTGTGATTGTTATGATGATCTAAAACCTTGGGAACCTTGGCCTTGCATTGGAGGTGGAATGTACTTTCCTTGAAAACCACTTTGGGAAGGGTTTGAGCCCTCCCCTTAGCTTTTCCAAGAGAAGTTCGGGTGATTTCTCCAACTAGGATTATAATGATTTCCATAAGGATTGTTCCCTTGATTCACTAATGTTGCATTTACTTGTTAATGATGCTCACTTTGCACATGTCCATGGGTCCAATTGGAAGTAGAATGTAAAACACTTGAACAAGTCATCCATGTCTCATTAGATGCATGATGAGAATGGTTAGGGAAGGAAGATACTTGATTTTATGAGTTTTGGTTGATCCAAAAATTGATCAAACCTTTGAGATAACGATTTCATCTTGGTGACAATTTCATTGGAGTGGTTGACTTGATGTAAGCCAACACTCTTCCTACCACTAGAATTTATACCATTCTTCGAAGATAAAGTTCGATGTAAAGAATTTTCACTCATGCTCTCATAAAGACGCCACACGTCATCCTTATGCCTATCAATGTAAGAGCCACCCATGGAAACATCAACCATGCCCTTGTAATTATCCGATAAACTCTCAAAGAAATATTGAACTAATTGCCATTTGGGCATGTCATGATGTGGACACTTCCTAAGCAATTCATTAAAGCATTCACATGCCTCATTAAATG